TATACAGCAGGATGAATTTGAGATTGATCAGAGAGAGAGAGAGAGAATTGTGAATTGTTCTGTATATCTGTAAACTACAAACATCACTGTCATGTATTATATTAAGTTCAATTTATTACCTGTCCAAACCTTTACCAATACCTTTATGTGCTGAAATGATTTGTTTTCAGTTTTCTGCTTCTCTTCAAAAACAGCCACACATAGGAAATTAATACAGGATGTTCATATTTGAAAGAAAGATTAAGCCCTTTGGATCATGGATAGAATTAATATAATGCATTAGTCCAACAATACAGCCACACATGAATGGCTATCAGGTCCCTCAGTGTTTCTCATCATCAAAAGAAATATTAGCCAAGCTATTCAGCTTCCACTTTTGAATGGAATCTAATTTACAATAGGCCTGTGCCCACAAAACCTTTTCCTAGTAATATGAGGTGGGCATGTGCATGTGTGAGGAAGAGATAGAGGTTTATGCAATAGAATAAGCGAGAATATTAGAGGGGACTATCAATTATGTGCACACTACAATGCCATATGCAGTATTTTATTAAATAATACAGTGTCAACCAGCGAACAAAGCTAATCTGTGCTCTAAAGCCTGAAATACACCCACTTGTTCTGTCTGACTAATAGCATGTCTCGTCAGTGTTGAAATGGTGCCTGGCAAAAAATAAAATCTTTTCATGCTGGGTAAAACAACAAAGTAAACAAAGTCCGGTTTTGATATCTAGTACAGTGGTAAATGCCTATTGTGTTTCTAATATGGGCAGAAGACCTCAGAGAGATGATGATAATTCAGCTTTTCAAATGAGCAAACAAAATACAGGAGATATTGAGAATAAAAAGGGAAGCTGTTTTTATAATTGTGTTCATTTTATTATGTATGCTAAAAACCAACAAAATGCTGCTGATAGTCTACTGATGGTTCTTTAGGTGCTATATTCAAAAAGTAACAGATGTTAAACTGATGTACTGTGGTGCAGTTCAGCATCTCCAGTCCATTTATATAGATGTTTATATTTAGGAAACAGCTGCTGATGGCATACAATAAGGTAAAACCTTATCATAAATGTTCATCTAAGAGTACAGGGTTTATAGTACATCCTAGGCTATATTTTCTCATCCGTTAGTTGCACACCCACATGTTAAATGTTGTCAAGCAGCTCAGATTGGTCTAGTGTTGCTCTTGTGAAATGCTGTTTGCCTGGTTTAAGAGACAGTTGAATGAATCAGTCTTTGTGGGTGGATGTTACCAGAGTCAGATTCCTCGTGACGCATAGAATTTTATGTACCTACTGTAAACACTTATCAGCCATGACAATAAAACCACTGGCAGGTGAAGTGAATAACATTGATTATTTGTTTACAGTGGCACCTGTCAAAGGATGGGATATATTAGGCAGCAAGTAAACAGTCAGTTATGGAACTTTGTGTTGGAAGCAGGAAAAATTGATAAGCATAAGGCTCTGAGTGACTTTGATATGGGCCAAATAATGATGGCTAGACGATTATGTCCGAGCATCTCCAAAATGTCCGTATTCAGGGACATTGCTGTGTGTAAGCACTTATTTAACAAGCAGACTGTCAATGCAAAATCATTTACTCTCAGTATCGCAATATGCAAACTGTACACTGACTAATACAGACAGAGTTGACTAAGCATTTCATCAGAACAGAAGGATATGTCAGTTACGCTGGTGCAAAATTAAATGCTCATGTCATCAAAAGCTGCTAACAGAAGGCAATATTAGACTGAGTAATGGAATCTGACTCTCAATTTAAGTATCAGGCTTGTACATAATGCAAGAACAACAAGCTGTTATCTGTGGCTGCATTCTTTTTGGTTGAGGAAATTAGGTTATTAGTCACAGTTACAGGACAAACTACCCGTCAAAGATGTCTGATCACACCCTGACTTATCTTTTTAAATGTACATATGGGCAGATAATAGATGTCTTTAGTTTCCTAAAAATGCTGGTCGAAATAAAATCACATGCACTTAAGATAATGAAAAATACCCTACTTTGTACTGGATGTGTATACCACTCTACTTAGAACATGTCTAATTCTTCCCTCCAGGAGCAATTTTAATTGATTACACTGCACCACAGCGATGGATGCTCATAACTTTACATACATTATGAGGTGCATTTGTTCTCTCTGTGCTCGTACCTCCAGTTGCCCACAGAACAGAGAGCACATCTGAGGAGTTTTGAGCTCGAGGGTATTCTATGTAGATAATTATTCTCTGAGCAAAATGGAACCTCTGAAGAATACATGAACAGCCAACTAAAAGTAGTTGGCTGTTCAAGATGCAAATCCTAGAAAGTACAGTGGTTCAAATTGTTGTTCAGACTTTTCATTCCAACACACTATTAAAATCAACATGTTTTGTATCTCCTTAACCTAGTTTCATTAACAGAATTATCAGCAGCGACTTTTATTTTATTTAACTATTGGAATCCATTCATTATCTTGCTACCTTGTGAGAAAGTAATCCACATTCTCACAACCAGTGTGCCATACAGACTGCATATTCAAAACAGTAGGGATGACCATGATAATATATAGCCAATTTGCGGAGCATTGGTCCATTTGGTGTATGTTTTGCTCCCAGTGAGTATTCTACTTGTCCACTTTTTGAATATGCACTATTAGTAGGACTGCAAAGGTTGATATTACTGTAGAACCAATAGCAGTTTTTGAGCAGTAGCCATTGTACAATTTACGTAGCTTCACATTCTCGCAAAATGTGACCTTCTACTAAATGTACCAGGGGGTATCTTAACAGCTGCAGCTTTGTTCTACTAATAGAGAGCAGAAAGTAAAGACAATGCCAAGTGAGAGCAGGGATATAACCTAGTTGTAGCATGCTGTGATATGGGATTCTGACCCATTCTGTGTGTGTGGATGTTCTAGTGTTGTGAAGGCATTTTTGTATTTTTTACACCTTCAAAGGCCTGTTTGAAGGTTAAGACTTGGTTTTAGGATTAAGGATAGATTTAGTTTAGGGGTTAAGGTAGGGCTAGGCATGTAGTTGTCATGGTTAAGATTAGGTTGAGGGGCTAGGGAATCCATAATATCACTGAGTGTCATCACAAAGATAGGTGTGCAAGTGCCTGTGTAAATTGGTGGTGTTAGTCAGCTGACTCACTCAAGTCGCAATTAGCTTTGGTGTCAAAAAGTAAACAGAGGAGTGGCTATACCCACCAATGATAACTGCTTCTGTCAGTCTTTTTTTTTTTTTTCCATTATAAAACTCAGCACTGTCAAATGGTCTGCAAAGCACTATGAAATCAGTAGCCATGAATCATAAAGCCTGCACATACTTGTGTAACCTACTGTAATAAAGTATAATGGTGCACTCCAGCCTCAAGGTCGTGTCACTGTGAGGAAGGCCCTGCTGTGCAGCCAACTGCATCAGCCTCCTTTTTGCATTCATTTAATCCCACCGGTGTTCAACAGCCTCCTTTTGACAGCAACACACCTTGTTCATCTTACTTCAAAGGCAAAGCTGACTGTCACAGTGGTTCAAACCAACCTTTTCTTGTGTAGTCAGACACCTCAAAGAATATGAAGTTAAAATGATAAAGTAAATGCATATCATAATAGGGGAGAAAAGGGGCATGTATTGATGACTAAAATAGAGAGGATGATTTGAGTTGCAGAACTGATTTCAGTAGTTAATTGAGGAAAAACTGGCTTTGATCTGTGCTATTTTCATCTCTAAGCAAAGAATAAGCAGTCTCTTATAGAAACCAAATTAAGACTGTCACTTAGACTTGTAAAGGTAACAGGTAAGGTTGGACAGTAATGGCTTTCCTAAAGACAAAATGTATTCTTAACCATAAAAACAAATCAGTTTTAGCTGGGTATGATTTCTTTCTTTCTGGAAAATTGAACTCGGGCTTAATCACAGAGTGGAGCTAGAGAAGAGCATACCTTTTCCAGTAAATGTGACAGTGAATTTAACCCTGTCCTATGTTTAAAAATGATCACGCACCAGTTGTGTTGGTAAGGAACAGTGTGCTGAGTGATTCATACTGATTCTTGTCATGTTACATAACTGGGGTTTAAATATTTAAACAGTTTCCGTGGGGAATTGTAAATGGGCAAAGTTAGCCATTAGGTCTTTTTCAATCCACCAGTTGGAGCAAAGAATCTTAAAATCTATCACCAAAAAAGTGGGACTTGGCTGAGGTGAAAAAGTTGCACCCTTTTCTTCTGCAGTGGTTTACAGGCAGCTGACTGCAAAAAAAAACAAAAAAAAAAAAACAAAAAAACAATTGTGCTACTAGCTGTTTATCTTGACAAACCAACTCTTACAGTTTGCATAACTTGCCTGTAGCAAAGCTTGGAAGTGGTAAGGGGCTGAGCTCTGGCCATCAAGGCCTCCAGGCAAGTTTCTGACTTTCATTGTGCCCTTTGTAGCCTGGACACATGTTTAGATTGGAAACACTGGAATAATCCTGTTTACTGTATAGGCTGTTTGAGTAATAGCTTGATCAGAATGTTGCAGAGATTATGCTTCCACCATCTGATATTATGTCTATGAATAATATACTAGCATGTCTCAGTATGGCACTGCACATGTTTGCAGGAGTATTTTACATATTCTAATTGCAATCCAAATAGTACATTTTCAGACTTTACAGTATGTATTGCAGTTTGGTTCTCCCATTTTATGAATAATGAATTGTAATTAGAGCTTTAATTATGCTCTGAAATATTCACAGGTTTTTGCTCCACAGGTCCCCTAATGCATTTGGTTGGGATGAAAATGAAACAATGAATGACACACAAAACAGGGTGTGAAAAACAAAAAAGTCCAAATGGTTTGCAGAAGCAATGAACAGTCTCTGCCAATAATAACACACAAACATATCCAGTAGAGAGTTTGACTACACAGAGCTGTAAGGCAAGAGAAGATTACCCAGTTCTTACCATTATCCAGTTCTTAAAACCTAACTTTTGTAATGTTTGTATTATATTCACAGTTGGCTGTAAATGCTTTGGGAAACAACCTGGTTTTCTGCAGGATGGTTTTCTGTGGATGGAAATGAAGGGAATAAACTTCAGGTTAGTCATTATCTATATTCATAGTGTTTTCAGCACTCCCCATACAGAGTAAAACCAACAATGAATTGCCTCAGCTCACAGTAAATTTGTCAGTTTTCAACCTTGAGTAGTTTATTTGTCTGTGTGATAGACCACTGTTGTTAAAAAATGAGTAATACACATCACTGAAAGGCATTGCTGCACTGGGTGACACGATTCTTCATTACAAAACACCAAACCTGCATATTTGTTCTAAATGTTACCCCAAAAACTCCAAATGGTCATAACTTTTTACAGCATCTGAAGTAGCAGCACTTAACTACACGTGTGCGAGATCTCTGTGTGAGCACTCTGTTTACAGTCTGTTAGCTCCTCGCACTTTCATGGAGATATTGCGCATCAATAAAATTAATGTAAAAAAATGTGGCCAATTTCTTCCTGATGAGTCTAGATGAAAACTGTGTTTGTCCAGTACATTTCTGTTGTCAGTCAGCTTGGTGAAGAATGTTTGTTTGGTTAGTGTCCTGCTGATAGCTGTTCTGACGTCAGCAACGCTGCACGGAGGTTGGTGTGGACTGAATGGATCAAATTCCTTAGTAATGCTTATATACCAGTGTTTGAGCTATATACATTTTGCAGCGGAGGCCTGCCACTGCAATATTATTGAATTCAGAATTTTCTGAAATATCAAAATGTTACAATTACACAGCTCTGCATGCATAGGGCTTTTCATTTGAAATGATGAATACAGGAAGTGGAGATGTAACACACCCAGCTGAGGCATGAGGGAGGGAGGGAGGGAGAGAGAGAAAGAAGAGAAGTAACTAACCTTAAGTTAGATTCTAACTTCATAAGGTACATCTTATGTTGATGCTTTGCATTATATCGAATCACTGGGCATTTGACCTATGCATTGATCCAGATCCTTGGATTGTTACACCCCTATTATCAACGTACTATCTTCTACTTGATTAAGGCAAATAAATTCAGAACAGCTGGCTCAGCAGTAATGGTCTGTCCATAGAATCTGCATACACATGGCTACATCTGGCATGATAGCACCAATTTCCACAATGCAGGAGTTAGGATATCAAAGATCAGAGCAGCCATTAATTTCCAAAGTGACATTGAGGGATGTGTGATGCGAGACTATTACCGGTTTGTTACATGCTTCTGAGATTAGGAGGGAGTGGGGGCACTATGAACTAGATTGCACCATTGCATGTCAAGTGGCTCTGCATGTCAATAAATATGGGTCTTCTTAGATGAATAATGAAAGAGAATTTGTAGGTTTTGCTGTGAAGGGAATCCTAAAGGTTACTAGCAAACATTCATAACTGAGACTGTGTGTGTGTGTGTATGTGATTGGAGCACTGAAGTGAAGATGAGCCATTGCTATCTGTTTGACATTTCTGTCAGTACTGGTATTTGAACTGCTGGGTAGCTCTGACAAATGCCATGGCTGTCACAGACTCGATTTTAATTACACCTGAATGGCTCTTTCAGGGGCTCAGGGATGAACTTAATTAGATAGCAAGTACCGGTACTTGGGCTAGTTGTCGTTGGTTGGTACAACCCACACAGCTTCTTTTTCTGTCTTGTTGTTGGTATTGAAATGGTTTCTGTCTATACAGACTGAGAGAATTAACAAATGAGGGGAGTGCAAATGGACTTTGGGGATGGCAGGGTTCCACTTTTCAATAGCAATTCAGATGTTAACATTTGGTTGCTTTATAAATGAATATGCTTTTAAGTGCCATAGAATATAATGGAAATGGCAGGCATTGACCGTGGAGCACAACATCAGAATCACACTGCATATGATGCCTTGGATTGGGAAAACTGTGCATCTAAATTAAGTGGAGTGTGGCATTAGGAAGTGTTTTCATAGCGATACCAAGCCCAAGTAATGGCCTTTTTGTCTTTGAAGTATGCAGTTGTTCACAGGCCAGTTTGCACATGTTAAACTGTTTGGAAAAATGAAGATGTTAAAAGACAAACAAAGGAAAACCAAACAGTGAAAATGTGAATGTTTGGCAACAAAAGGAGCCATAATGCTTATGGGAAACCCAGGACAATTTCTTCTAGAAACAATAATATTAGGAACACTTTGTTCCGTTTATGTTTTACCAGTTTCTTAAGATGGAATAGTATTCGAGTCAAATGGAAACACAGAAGTACAGAACAGTCTTCAGTTTTATATCCATGACAACTTAAGATTATATAGAGACCACAGTATCTCAGTAGTTCTCTCTGGTATATGACAGGGCCATAGAGATGATTAAGTAGTTGGAACATTTTAATGAACACAAAGCCATCCATGTGGAAGGTGATTTTAATTGAAATCTCCTTCTGTTTAATAACAACATATTCACAGAGGACAGAAAAAAGTGAGTCACTCCTGGGGAGATATGAGGTGAATATGTGTTCAGTGAAGAAGTAATTCTGTTTCACTTCACAAGACATCTTTACTCCAGAGTGACTTTTTGTTGCTGTTCTGTCTCACACAGTTTTCCAACACTTTCCACCTCGGTTCTTGATCCATTGTCCCTCAGCATTAGGGATGAAATGGTATGAAAAATTACTGTCAGAATTATAGTGACCAAAATGATCATGGTTCTCAGTATTATTGCAGTAATGTCCATTCATCGATATATTTTCTACCACCTAGGTCAGGTCGCAGTGCCAGCAGGTTCAGTAAGGTAGTCCAGACATCCCCCTCCCTGGTGACCTGTTCCAGCTCCTCTGGCAGGACTTTGAGGTGTTCTCAGGCCAGATGAGATATATAATCTCTCAAACTTGCTCTGGGTCTGCCCCAGGGTCTCCTACCAGATAGCCATGCCTGGAAAACCTCCAGAGGGAGGCATCCTGATAAGATGATCAAACTATCTCAACTGGCTCCTTTAGATGTGAAAGAGCAGTGGTTCTACTCCATGCCCCTTCTGGATGCCCACACCCTATCTCTGCGGGCAAGTCTGGCCACCCTACAGAGGAAACTCATTTCAGCCGCTTGTCTTTGCCATCTTATTCTTTTGCTCACTACCCAGGTTTGTGACCACAGATGAGGTTTGGAGCATAAACTAACTGGTGAATTGAGAGTTTTGCCTTTTGGCTCAGCTCCTCCTTCACCACAACGGACTGGTACAATGTCCGCATTACTGCTGATGCTGCCCTTATCTGTCTGTTAATCTCATGCTCGATTTTACCCTTTCTCATGAACAAGACCCTGAGATACTTTCACTTGGAGCATCACTTGGAGCAGTGACTCACTCCAAACCATGGCCTCAGATTTAGAGGTGCCAACTCTCTTCCCTGCCCCTTCACACTCTGCTGCAAACCACCCCAGTGCATGGAGGTCACGGTCTGCTGATGCCAACAAAACCACATCATCGGCAAATAGCAGAGATATGATTTTGAGGTCCCCAAACCGGACACTTTCCTTCCCCCCAGCTGCGCCTTGAGATCCTGTCCATGAATATCTCAAACAGGATTGGTGACAAGGGACAACCCTGACAAAGGACAGCACCAACTGGGAATGTCTGACATCTGGCCGAGTATACAGACACAACTCTCACTCCACTTATACAAGGACCGGATGGCTCATACTAATAGCCCTGGTGCCCCCACAAGATCCCATGCAGGGACCCAGTCGTAGACCTTCTCCAAGTCCACAAAACCCATGTAGACTGGGTGAGCAAACTCCCAGGAGCCTTCCAGTAACCTTTCAAGAGTAAAGTGTTAGTCAAGCAGGAGTTCCTCATAGTGTTCATTCCACCACCGGACAATATCCCCTGTCTGAGTCAGCAGTTCTCCTCCCCTGCCAAACACAGCCTGGGCCAAGCCCTGCTTTCCCTTTGAGTCATCGGACGGTTTGCCAGAACATCCTTGAGGCCAACCGAAATTTCTCCATAGCCTCACCAAACTCCTCCCACACCCAAGTTTCTGCATCTGCAACCATCTGAGCTGCAGCCCTTTTGGCCTGCTGGTACCCATCAGCTGCTTCAGGAGATGCCTGAGCCAACCAAGCCGTCGGCCTCCTTCAGCCTGACAGCTTCCTTCATCGCTGGTGTCCACCAGCAGGTTCTCAGGTTGCTGCCACAACAGGCACCAATTACCTTCTGGCCACAATTCAGAATAGCTGCTTTTGCAATGGGGGATTTGAACATGGCCCATTTGGATTCCATGTCCCCAGCCTCCCTCTGGGCCGTGAGAGAAATTCTTCTGGAGGTGGGAGTTGAAGACCTCCTGGACAGGTGCTTCAGCCAGGTGGTATTGTTAAAACTAGAATTTTCAAAAAGTAGGGATACAGAAGCTAAAATCATTAACTTCTGGTTTCATACTGAGATCGACAAATAAATGAGCTACTTAGTTAAACTCTTTCACTTGGAGCTTCACTTGGCATTTTTGTTTGCAGAAACATTAAAATAACAGCTAATACATTTTCTTAAGATAATGAGTTTCAAGAAGAGAGCGAATGTAATGAGCCCAACACCTTGACTAAATACAAAGTATCCTATAGTGTTTCTTCTGTTGGAACACTTTTACAACTAATTTGATTATAGTCAACTTACCTTGCATTTGCTATAAAGTAGTGGGTCATGAAGGTGACTCAAGTTCTGAAGCATTGCTGCCTTTCTGAGTTAGAGTTTTTCTTTCTGCATGTTCTGTCGATAAGGTGACCATCTTCAGTGAATCTTCCTTCAGTCCTCCAGGAGTCTTATAAAAACCAAAATTCGACTACAGTTCAGACTAAAGGGCATGCACACCAGGGGTGGTCAAATAACACGCACTGGGAGTGGTGCAGATTCAGTGTGGGACTGCCAAAGTGGGTGAGTACTTCAATATTTTAGGCTTTTGATGTGGGCTTGCATTGAAAATAATGGGTGCGGGTGTTTTCACCCACACCGTATGCCATCTGTGCTTTGTCCTTTAGATCTCTGAGGCGGCTGAAAAATCTTTGGAGCACTGTCATTGCCTTCCACCATGTTTTTACTGACAACCCATGTTGCATGTTGTACCTGCATAGCTGTATCTGGAAGACGATTGCTTGCTTTGGTTAATGCTGGATAGTGTTTAACCCTTCAGCAGAGGAGTTTTTCCAAAGCATGGTAAAACATTGGGATTTTGCTGTACCATGATTTAACATGCGATTGGTAACCTTTTCATCTCTATTCGGCATTATCAGATTAGGGCTGCATTCACATTACCTGCTGACATGGGCCAAATCTGATGTTTTCTCACACGTGTACACAAAGTAAATCGGATTTATTTTTTTTCCCCCAAATCAGATCTGGGCCACTTTTTAGATGCGCTCCTACTGTAGATCCGATTCATATCTGACCATGTGACCACTGTCAACAGTCAGATCGGCATTCATCTTTTTTTTTTTTTCTTAAATATCTCACTTGGTCCATGAACATATCGCCCGTTAATCATCATTCAGTGTTGGTTCATTACAGACCTGTAAAAATAAACAAGCAGGAGAGCAGGGTCAGTGGAGAGACAAGAATGTTACGAACTTCGCCATTTATGTAGAAGCTTGTGATCACACCAAGCAGGAAGGAGTAGGCCTATAAATAACCAAGCAGTGTTGGAGGAAATGGTGGAATTTGACATTCTTTTCTTACATGTGACTCCTATTATAATTAAATCTGTGCATTTGTGGCAGGTTAGGACCTCAGTGGTGGTCACATTTACGTGGTGCTTACAATCATGAATCATCAACAAAAAAAATTTGATTTGACTTAAAAAAAAAAAAAAAAAACAGAATTGTGTGAAGATTTGTAATGTGAATGCAGTTTAAAAGAACAGAAGTGTTTTGCTGCTCATTTTCTCAGTTTACACCAACTTCACAGAAAAGTAAAAATTTAAATACATTTGTAAATGAAAGAACAGTTTAATCACATAGCTTGTACAAGCTGAAAAGTATCTGTATATTTTTAATTTCTGAAAAAAAAACATACAATGTTATAGTACCATGTTATACCAAAAACAATTTATTATCATTTCTTTTGCAAGGATCAACATTATCACATTCCACCTGGCTATAAATGTGCCAACTACGCATTACTCGAAATCAGACCATCAGACATTAAAACAAATACAGGGATCAGTTTAAAATTTTAAATTTACAGTATTTAAGTTATAAATGAGGCATTTGGAATGAGTTTATTGTACATGTAACTTAACTAAAGTCTGTGGATATACTATACTGAAACCCATTAATTTCACTAGTTTAGTTTTTCAGTGATCTGATATGCTGTGTTCTGAGTCCTGCTCAGTGGCAATCATCCTAACACCAGTTTAACTGCAAACATAATTTGCAACAACTATACAATATCAATGAATGTTTCCAGGTGCTAAAAACTCAAATTATAATGTACCTATGAATAAGGCTGAATGATACTCCTCTGTTACAAGTTTGTGTATAAAATCGGGTTGCAACATCAGCATATCATGGATTCGGTTTTTGCTGTTTAAGGCTCTGCCGAGTAAAGTTGTATGTGGAGAGTGAAAATCTTATATGTACTGTAAATGCTATGAGCAGGTCCATCCGTTTGCAGAATAACTCAAATTTAAACAAATTTCAAACTGCTTACAAAATGTTTTTGACCCAAAGCTGCAAACCATACAAACAAAACTGCAGCACAGAGTGCCATAGGGATGACATTTTTTTTTGTAGGTCAGCTGGGAAGTTAGCATCACTGTTGCCAATGGAATTATCCATAGTGGCTTTTGGATTGTTGCAAATAAAATAAGCTCTGTGACAACAGTTTGACACTTGCACATTCTGTTCAACATGATGATTTTCACAAGTGAACACTGTCTTTATGATTTTTGAAGCCCAAATACTGTCAGCAGAAGTAAAAAGCTACTGTGAGGCTATAAACACCATGGTCACATGTCGCACGTGGCAATGATTCTACTATGTTTGCACCACAGCTTCCAACTTATTTACCTATTCTTCAAAATCCTTTCCACTTAGTGTGACCTGATATAGCTTGTGATCATGGCTGTTAGAACAGTTTGCAGGTGCGCAAGTATAAATACAGCAAGGCTGTAAAGGCGGACTGTTGAGGAGGTGAATCTCTGTTTGGCATGATGATGGTCACAAAACTCATTAATTCGGAGCAAGGGAGTGCAAAAATGCTAACTCAGTTCTGCATTTTATGACTCGTTACTATGGCACTCTATGACAACGAGTCAGGGCTAGACTTTTTTTATTTTTTTTTGATGTGTGCCCCCAGTCCCAACCAAAAAAAGGTTATTTTCCCTCTGACCTCTGTGTAGTAGTTTTGTAAATATTTATAGCTTTGTGTGGGAGGAGACTCAAGTTGACGAATTAGAAAAACAAATGAAAAGATGCTATAAGAAGAGGTATTCAACTGTTGTAAGTTCATTAAAAAAAAACTAATATTAGTAAAAGTTGTGTTGACCAAAAGCATTTGCTCATTAACAGTTTAAAATGTTAATCTAAAACCTCTAGGATTTGGATTTAATAAGCATGTTTGAAACTGGATCCAGTTTTGATAAATGCTGTTGAACAACCCCATCCCTATGAGTTTTCCAAGTTAATTGATTACCTTTTAGGCACTGAAAACAGTTGTCATTTGTATGCCTTTAAAGCTGAAATCTGTTTTTATGTTCTTTGTAATTAGGGCTGCACAATTAAGTTTTTTTTTTTTAATCATGATTCTGCTGTGTTTTGCATTTGCAGGGAGACTCCTTGGACCAAGACAAGTGTTCCCTTTTCCTCGCTAAGGTTGGTTAACCAATAACAAAAATGTTTTATGCCACTTGGTGAGCTGTAGACAGGTGAGAGGAGTCTGATTTCAAAAACAAATTTAATGTGTTTGACATGGTAAAAGACATTCAATGCCCTTCTGCAACTATTTTTTTGCAAACGTTCCGCTGCCTGTCCTAAACCCCCAGTGCTGAACAGCATTTAAGGCCAAAATGAGAGAAATAAATCACTGTGTGGTTACTGGCTGTGGTTATTAGTTAATGCAGCTTAGCAAGGAAAGCCAGTGCTTGGTTTGATGCATAGGATCTCCGTTAACACAAACGTGACTGAAATCGCAGAGGGGTCTGAATCGTGATCAAAAAAGGGATAATTGTACAGCCCTATTCTTAAGATATAATTTTATGACCAACTAGTTGGACTGATAATCTGAAACAGTTCTATCAACAATGACTTGATTGCAGCTGTAAAATAGATCTGTTTTTTTTTATAATCTAACCAAATGAAAAGGAGGAGACCCGCTGAGTCATTGGGTTTTGCAATTGGCAAGTGTACATAATGCATAAAGGAAAACAGACAAATTTTTAAGATACTCGTACAACTATCTTGCGTTATATGGTTACAACATAAATATGAAAATAGAATTGAAAAGCTTAAACATGTTTAGAGAGAAGTAATAAAATAACTATCATAGCTTCTTAGAAAAATGTTTTTTCCCCACAGAGTACTGTGAAATAAAATACTGAAAAATGAAAATGCCATGACACCAGTGATAAATTCTTTACAAAATTATTTTTGGGTTACAAAGTGTGAAAAATATTACTATTGTCCTCATAAAAATGCCACATTTAACGAGGCAAGAATATTTTACCACATGGGGTAGAATGTGTGTGAGATTTTTGTTTTTTTTTTTCCTTTTCTTCTTTTTATACAGTAGTGACTGATAGGAAGGCATTGTGCACCTTGGCCCCCTCAGGGGCCTTAGTGCCATGAGTCATCAGTTCTTGGATGGTCATCCAGTTGTCCAGGATCTTCTTGTTGCGTTTCTTCATCATCTTCTTGTGGCTGAGCTCTATAATGCTGACTTCTTTGCGACCCTCACTGCTGCTCTGAGGGTTCTCTCTCAAGCTTTCCAGTCGACTGCGTTGCATGAATTCTCGTCTTTTCCTCTGTTCTTTTGCCCTGACCAGATGCTGTTTTCTTTCCTCTTTACTCCAATACCTCCCCATCTTCATTTCACTCATTGCATCATCATCCGTGGTCATTCCCCCACTACGCTCTTCTTTAATCTTTAAGGCTCTCTCCCTCAGGATCTTGTCTCTCACAGGCCTCTTGGTGATGTAGCGGGTGCCGTCGCTGCGGATCTTGACCTTCCACTCCATCTTGGGCTCATTAATGGGCCTCTGAGGCTCTTTACAGACGCTGAGCAGGCTGAGCTGGCTCTGAGCATACTCTACAGCTGAGCGCTGCTGGATCAGCTGCATGTAGCTCTGATAGTGTTGGGCATGAGCTGGGATGTTGGCCTGTCTCTGGTGGGAACTGAGAGATGGAGAGAAGTAAGGAATCTTGGAACCACATGGCTTTATTTTCCTTCGGCTCTCCTCCTCAGCCTGAGGTGTCTGGTCTGACTCAGAAGGATTGCTGTGATCAGGGCTGCTACTCCTGCCTGGGACCAGAGCATGGCATGCTGGGATGGGGCTCAGGCTAAGAGAGTGGCCAGTTGCGAGGCCAGTGCAGAGGTTCCTCTGGTTGGTGAGACTAACCATCCTCTGGAGCGAGTGCTCTGGGGAGCGGTCCATTGCCAGAGGGGTGCTCCGTGAACTCTCTGCTGTGTTATAGGCACTGGAGCTGTCCTTGTCCGATTTCTCCAGCCTCTCAGTAATGTCATTCAACTTACCCCTTGTGGGTTCGCCACCATGGAGGCTTTGGCTTTTGGTAGAGGGTGAAGAGCAGCCTAATAAGGGAGACTGCTGGCCCTTGCGAAGCTTGTGGGCCTGCATGATGTTCTGGCATTCAAGCTCAATGCTGCGTAGCTCCTCATTTAGCATACGCAGCTCATGTTGTACACTGCCCTGCTCCGCCTTGCTGCACTCAATGGTACTGCGGCGGCTGTAGAACAGGTCGTATTCGCCACTGTTACGAATCTGACACTTTAGTTCCAGGAGCTGCTGGAAGCGATCGCCCTCTGCCTCATCATCGTCCTCATCCTCTTTGTCCTCTAGTCGCGTAGAGCCAGTGGTACAGCGTGTATCTCGACTGTCTCTCAGGCACTGGGACAGACGTCTCTGGATGTGTGCCAGGACATTATGCTCTGATCTGTCCTTATGATGAGGAAGCGTGGAGCAGGTAGGTTTGTCATCTGCTCTCTGAAATGAAGGACAAAACCAACCTGAAACACTCAGATGTATGGCACTTACTGTGTGACGCACAAGATTGTTAAATTTCATTTAATAACCCACAATTTTTTTTTTTTTTTTAATCAATTTATTTTATCTTGACATACAGTATTTAGTGTTCCTTATATATAGATGATCTGGTGTAATTTTATGTTATATAAAACAGAGTTACCAGAAGTATTTAAAAGTTCAAGAAGTGAAATCCTATTCTGCATTCTCCTGAAGGATTACATATGCTGTGGTGTGTAACTCTGTTATACAGCTCTGTTACTTCAGGGATTGTTTCCTCTCTGCTACGTCTTTGAAGTCCCAATTTTGTAGCATGTAATCCTTCCAACAGAACAGAATTTTGAATTATGATTACTAATGTTTGGAATTTAAATGTGCGATCATCATCTCCCATTAATATTCATAATTATCTTGTATTTATATTTCAAAGGGGAAAGCTTCTTTTCATTTAATTTTGCAAAGAAACCAAACAAAGAGTGTGGTTCCGTCTCTGCCACTGGCTAGGTCTGTATTTAAGGAATAGGTTAATTTTGACACTAATTAATGACCTAATACAGTCAGAGGAGTTTTTGGTCAGTGGAATGATGCTAATGACCCAATGGGTACTACGGGCTGTCATTCAGTAGAAGGCTAAAAGTTTTGCTGCTGTCTGACCTGTTCATTCTCCTGCTCCTCCTGTAGGGCAGCCAGTTCCATCTCTTCTCTCTGCTGCTCCTCTAACATTTCCATCTTCAGCTGCTCCAGGAACTCGCTGTGCTCATCATCCAGCCAGGCTTCCTCCAACTGAGGGTGAATGAAGGACGAAAGCATATAGAGAGAGAGAAAGTGACAGGACTGTCTTATTTGTCAAGGCCTAAAACTTGTGGGGGGACCTCACCCGGCATGTTTTTGAAATAAGACATTCTAAGCATTAGTATAATGTGGTATTGGACTAATATGCAGTTCCTAGTTTCTTAACCAACCAAACACCACCCCCCATCTTTAAAACTTGCATTGTAATATTAAAATCAAGCCAATAACATTCTAACGGACATAGGACTGACACCTTTAACCTATTTCTTCCACACCATCCATCATCTGTTTGTCTACTCAATGTGAACAAATAGGATCCATATCTGGAGACTTCAGATTTACTACTGAAAGACATTTAATTACAAAAAGTCTACCATTGCTCCTGGCTCATCTGCACTGCAGCAGAGTCCTTCCACTTATTCGCCACTGGCCTTGGGCCTGAACCCACTCCGCATTAGCATGCCATTAGCTTTTATGGCTTACTGTTGGAAGTCAATTACAGTGGCGCTACATAAAAATAAAACATGATGAGGTGTCTCAGTGGTGGCTTCAACTTGAGTGGCTGTGGTGGTGGGGAGGGGATAGGCGGCAGGGTTGGCTACCCCAGACTGCTAAAGTTTACTCTGGGCAAATATACTATAGATGGCAATCCTTCAGGACTGTAAATTGTTAAGTGTGTGCTTCCTTTAGTCACGTTGGGTGCACAGTAGGCATTTCAATCAGTGGCTTAAAGATGCAGTATGTCAGTGTGAGGAAATTGCTAACCTGCATCTCAGGTCTGGCAACCAGCAGTACAATGTTCCTACACTCGTCACTGGATAGCGCAGCCATGGCTTCCTCTCTGTCTTGCACATCTTGGCCATTAATCTAAAGATGGAATACAATCAATTAAGTCAGACACAAGCAAGCAAACATGTTGTGTACACAATTGCAGTCATTTGAACACAGTCCCACTCTCATACACTAAGGCAAGCTTCCTCCTCCCCAATACAAAAGTATTTGAGAAAAACAAAGCAGCACAGTAAACATGGTACTGCACAATAATGCCTATTTTCCAGAGGAAATTGCAAACACTCTGTGCTGCTGTCTAATATAAAGCAGGACCCAGCAGTGATTATGAATGGGACAGTGATTGTGGACCAGTGGAACTGTTGTATTCCCCCAAGTATCCGGTGGTGTACATACATCTAGCTACACAATTAACTGGCCACTGACAGGGGACGTCCATCTTTTTGCAGGCAGAGTAATGGCTCTGTCAGTGGTGGATAATAGTGCCAGTACCGGTCTGCCTCACAAACTCACACCCTCTCTCCTGGCTCAGTCATTCACACAACACATGGTAGACACCAGCCAACAATTAGCCGAACAGTGCTTATGCATTAGCCCCCTACATCTAATAAGTGTTTGCAGAGATGTTTTTATTTCTCTCGACTTTATTCCTGTCTCATGTCTTCTATTGCATTACTGTACTTACTAAAACACCTTTTCCGCATAAAAAAGGTTGTTTATCAGCTAATAAATTCCCTTATTTGCTATTCATTTTCTGTGGTAGAATAGTTCACATTACCAATTTGTGCCATTGTAAACACTCTTTTCCTATACCAACCTTTAAAGCTCCACTAATCAATATTTCCCATCTATTTATATCAATATAAACAACAAAGTGAATATTGGACTTAGATTCTTCAGGTGGCTAAAAACTGTTCCCTACGATGCCTAATTTTTCTCTTTAATAAAGTGATAATGTCAGGTTTTATTTTCAGTTTGTTTTGCTGCTTCCAAGTGGCCAAAATAAATTCTTTAATGGAGCTTTAAGATGAAATTTGTAGGCTCTAACTCTGCCTCACAAAATGATCACCCACCTAAGCCAGAGAGTCAACACTGTCCAGCCTTTAGCCTTAACAAATGCTGCTCCTAATTAGGAGCAGAACTCCTCCAGATCTCAAACTGAAGATGCAGCTAGGGGCAAATAACAGTCAGAGCCTTTCAGCTATCCCACAGGAGGCAGCAAGCTGTAGCACAGCGCCATCCTGAAGCACAACTTTTAAAAACCCTGGCGGGTGCTGAGTTGGTGTCTAAAACAACCAGGGGGGCCTTTCCTCCCCACTAACAGTCACAGTGGGGGCAAGTTCCCCCTTTAATGTACTGCCATTAAAAATGAATGGGCTCATGCAGGGAGACATCGGTTCAGTATGACAAAATAAAAGCAGGTTTTTATGTTGAATGAGAACTGGCGTGTAAGGGGCCAGTAAGAGAGTGTCCGCTTGTACCTGTAAAATGCGATCCCCTTCTCGGATACGTCCGTCTCTGGCAGCAATGCTATTTGGACTGATCTGTGAAAGCAGAGGGAATAAGACACTTTCAGTCTTTATTAAAAACAGTCAAGGAGTGCCTGAAATAGTTCTAACTTTTTATGAAGACATCACCAAGCTAGACGTGCCAGGGCTGTTATTAACGATGTGAACACACACACTAGGCATGTCCTGACAAGGGGAGACCATAGATGTCAAATGTCTTTCCAGCAGCTATGGTCAGTTTTCAGTGCTATGTTAATCCTCAGCAAAAGCCACAACAAACTGAGTTGTAACCTTTATTATTGGAGTCCTCAACTGTACCCGCCTCACGTTATATTCTCGCAGGATGATGTATCACAAACCTTTGCATATATACAGCCTGTAATACAACCCTAATACACGATGCACCTGCTTCTTCTGCAACTAATGCTAGTGAGCATGGGGGCAGGACACTCTGTCATCAGCCAATCAATCGTTGTCTGGGGCCATTCTTTTCACTCTCTCCTATCAGACAGGATCTCTGGAGATGGTGAGGTACTGTGGCATTCAATCTTCATGATAGTCCACTCCTACAGAGAGGGCCACTCATTAAACTGGGAGGGAGGTCACTAGACAGGACTGGAGGGAACAACACAACTGAATGCAAGGTATGGAGAGTGCAGCCATACCATGAATAATCCACAACTGAAATAAAGGGAACTATAAGAATGCATTAATTTATTAATATGCCATTGTGAACACTGTCGTTACAGTTCTGCCACATAGCAAAAAAGTCCAGGGTTTGACTATCTATGCCCCATGCATGCTGGGATAAACTCCAGTCTCTGTGCCCTTGAATACAAATGAACATGTATAGAAAATGAATGGGCCGGTAGATGAAGGAAACATGGGTTTTCTGCTTTAGCTTTCCTTAATTATTTAACCACTGTACTGGAAAATCAACTTAAATAACAACACAGTCGAAATAATGTTGCTTGTCAACCATAGCTACAAATTTGCTAAATTTAGCTTATTTTAAAATGACCTTCTATTGTTCTTATCTTGTTGACGTATTCTCACTACTTATGCACGATTAGAGCATGTGACATCTCTTAGAATACGTACTGTATACAGTGACATTCAGCCACCTCATCTAAATGCAGCACCCTCCTCTTAGCCCTACATTTTTGTAGAGTGAACACTTAAGGATGCTGCCGAGAGCCACGGGCCACCGTGATTTATATTCCACTCAGCTCTCAAAGCAAACACCTTGCAAGGTCTGAGTTATCTTCAACCAAATCATGAGCAAAGTTGAGCAGAGTAAAGAACAATCGTTTACTATATGTGCTTCCAACAAGTGGGAGAAAAACAGAGGGCAGGAGCGTTTTTGCCAGCATGTTCCTTGCAGGCTGTTTGTTGATGTCAGATGTACTAAAACTGGGTGTACAACTCTGACAACCTAAAAGAATTTTAGATTTTGTTAGTTTTTCCTGTGTTGGCAGCCATTGCATGTTGGCAACTGACAGTGTAAACATGCAGTAAGAACAGTGCCAAACTGTTCAATGATGTCATTTGTGGCTGCTAAGAGTTCAGTTTTAAAAATACTCTACCCAATAGAGAAACCTGCTTTGCTCACATGAACACTAAAGTAAATCATAAATTGGAATATGAATATTTATTTGATGTAATCTCAAAAATCAACTTTTCAAGGCATTTTACTGAGGCACTCTGATCTAGCCATGGCGATGGCTGGTTTCTACAATAGAGTATGATATGTAAATGTGAGACTTCAAAGAAATGAAATAAAAATAGAAAATGCATGTACCTTTTGCCTCAAGTGTATTAATAGTTTCATTTTCCAAACAGCTAGAAATCCTATGGCAGCAAAGAAAAGCTAGTTGGAGGAGGATGTATGGTTTTTGGTTTTCCTCCAGGAGTGAGGCAGAGTTGCAAAAAATAAGGTAGGGCTTCCTCATGGCAAATCAAGTTGGAAGATTGTGGTCTTGTATAAACTCTCAGTCCAGGTCATTTAAAGCTCATCTTGTTATTTACTCACCTCACTGACATAGATGGCCACATCCTCTTCTTCATCTGTCCTGTAGCACAGAGTTAGCCCCAACTTCTCTTGGCTGTTGAGTCGACACAATTCCACTTCCTGTGGAAATATAATAGGGGAAATACAGAAATGTAAAAAAAAACAAAAAAAAACTAGTCAACAGCCATGCATGTCAGGCAGAACATTGCTTTGAGCTAAATGCTATCATCTACATGTTAATGACAAATCTAACATGCTGATGTTTAGCTTAGCAATTTACATCAAAACTGAAATCTTGATGGACAACAGTGGCTACAGAAAGAAGTTTCTGTTCCACTGAAGATCAAAGAACAATGTTCCTTAAGTTTCTTAACAAAAATCCGTCTTTTTTTGAGACACTTAATGAATTTGAATTGCCAACTTTCATCTGAGGTTTTTGAGTCTTAAATGTCTGATCATGAAAGGCATTCTCAGCCCGCAGGGTTTGATCGGAGGGTCTTTGATAAATGTCAGAGGACCTCAAGTGTTTTTCTTTTAAGTTGTTGCCAAAAATAAACTATAATTATGCTAATGCTACCAGCTAAACATATTTGCTGCAGCAGTTAAATATTCCTTTCTGTGAAGAGGTCGTCAAATTTCCCATGAGCCTGTTGGAATATAGCTGGCATCTACAAGAATTCATCATTTAAATGTGAGATTTATTTAACCACAGCTAGAACTTGAGCAAGTGCTACAGTCCCTTCATCTGCCATCAAAATATGTTCCGAGTATGGAACCTAACACATCTCATAATTTCCACATTTTCCCAAGCTCCCAGACAAGTTAATGTACAGTACATAAACCACTTTGCAGTCTCAGCTTCCCACAACAGAGGTGCAGCCAAACACCAAACAGCACAAGCCTGTGCTCCATCTTCAAATGCTGAAACATATCAAGGGTGTTGAAGCAAATCAAGTGTGAAATGGCCTCTCCTCCCAAGGTCTTCATTAGAGTAGCAACACACCAACTCTGAGCAGCAGGAGCGAGGTGCTTGACTAGAGAGGAGGATAGAGGGGGCAGAGAGAAATGAGGCAGTGGCAAGGGCTCTAGTGGGGCTCAGAGGGGTCTCACACAGCAACAGAGAGATTCATTTCCTCTGTGACAAGCATGGGTTGGCTGGTTACACATGTCTGATGTGGCAGGGGGGTGAAGTCTGACCACGGTGGGATGAAGAGGAAACGTTGCCATCGCTGCCAGAAAACCATCACCTGGTGCCTCTGGCTACCCTGTCTAAACTGTTTATGACCCCCACCCTACTAACTCACATACACACAAACACAACTCTAGGCTCAATTCCCATTTTCTCCTTCTCCCATGTCACTAATTTCTTCCCGCAGTTCTCTACCTCTGCTTTTCACACACCTTGACAGATCACTGGACTAGGGACCTGCTGCTGCTGGGCTACACACACTAGTTTACAAAAAAAGAGTAGCTGCTGCATCATTGTACAAACCGAATGCTTACACACCAAGTACGCTGAGCTGAGCACACACAGACACAGAGATAAAGAGCTGAAGAAAAAGGACATCATCTGAGCTTTGTTGTTTCATCCTTCTCAGCAGCCTCCACCCGACAGGGAGCTCAGATCTTTAATTGACTGTCTCCGGAGCTATGACAACTTCAAATCCCAGATGATATGCAAGGATACAATCTGAAAGAAGCTTTAGTGCTGACTACCTGAACAAAGTGAGCTGCACAAATCAGTCATTAGCTATATTAAAAACGTTACTAATAAGCTATCACTGGTATTGTTGGTAGAGATATTAAAGCAAAAAATCTACTGATGCAATGAAGCAGTCATGGAGGTAATGGGAGCTGTGGAGACGGAGTACATCTTGCATGCTAATATGATGTGAAGTTGTGGGATATCTCTGCGAAATACTGAAATTACTGGCAATGTCTTGGAGTCATCTAAAAATAGCCTAAACCACACAAATTAATTGCCGAAACTGAGGCAAGAGGTGTGAGGAGGTACTAAATCATCTCTATCTGAATCTGTAAAACAAGCCTAAAGTTACTTATGGCTAATTAATGGCTAGATCTAGTGCAGGGCACCTGTAGATAAACGATCAGAGGAAATAGATAGCTACAATTACTGCATGTTGGATGAAACATCAAACCTGCAAGCATGTATATTAACTGTATTAGGACCCTTTAAAAAAAAACAAGATGGTCTTTTTTCTTAATTTGAGGCAATACTGTGTAGAGAAAACAGTCAGTTGTGCTCAGCTGCCTCAGTAAAAGCAAGTTGTCTCCTGATCCATCAAACACACATTCACCAGTCTCTCTCTCTTCTCTTGCCTATTGATTATTTTTTTCCGTTTTCCCGGCGAGCTCCCAGCCTCTCAGGCAGGAGATTGCAGCATGGCACAGGGACGAGGGCTGACAGTAAATTAATGACTGCGATGGTGTGATTAGGGGGAAGATTGTTGCCTACCATCATAGCACATTGGATGCTGTCATAATAATTGCGCCTTTGATTACCAGTAATTGAAAAAGCAGTCATAGATGCATGAATGACTACCACTGGCAGTCAGAGAGGGAAGACTGTCTGAGCTTGGAGTACTTTGCTTTTTCAAAATTCAATGAAACTAATCAAAGGGCTCATAGAAATCATAGGAAATGTAAACTGCTAAAAAAAAATATTAGGGGAACATAACAGTACAACACGAAGTCAGTTATCAATATATCAATCTGTCCATTTAGGAAGCACAAGTGGTTGTGAATCAGTTTCACCTGCTGTGGTACAAATGAAAGTGATAACAGGTGCAATGGAGAGGCAAAAGCAAGACACCCCCCAAAAAGGGAATGGTTTTGAATATGGTGCAGGACAACGCCCGGCCTCATGTGGCCGGAGTGTTTGGGTAGTTCCTGGATGACGACGGCATTGATGCCACTGAATGGCCCTCACGTTCCCCTGACCAAAATCTAATTTAACACCTATGGAACATTAAATATTGGTGCATCTGACGCCAACAAGTACCACCACAGACTGTCCAGAAGATCACTGATGCCCTGATCTAAGTCTGGGAGGAGATCCCCAGGACCCCATCTGCCAACTCACCAGGAGCATGCCCAGACACTGTGCATACAGGCACACGGGGGCCATGCACACTTCTGAGTCGCATTATGAGTTGCAGTGATGAAATTCATGCAACTTGGATGAGCCTGTGATTTAAATTTTTCACTTTGATTTTCAGTGTGATTGGGTTGATGATTTTGGTTTCCATTGGCTGTGGTTACGTCATTTTGTTCGAAACAAATTATACAGTGTACATTAGTACTCTGCGCATCTCTCTCTCTCGCCACGACTCTTGCATGTTAATTACCCTGACCTAATGAATGAATATTCTGGTGTACTAGATGTTGATCATTTTTCTGTGATGTGATGGCAAACTGCTCTCCACTACTGTACTTTATCATCTAACAAAGGCACTTGAAAATGTCTCTCCTTCAGCAGGGAGTGAGGGATCAGGCTGTTGAAAGTTGCTTTTCTTCTTCTGCTTACAGTACATCATCCTCACAGCATTTTCAGTTGGCATATAATAAGTGGGATGGCATTAGCACAGTATCTATCTCCCCAAGCATGAAATAAAAAAAGAGTGCAGGCTGCAAAGCATACGCAGTATAATAGGATTTGTTAATAGCAATGAGGCATAAAGGCAGGCTTTAATATATTTGTTCCGATTTGACACCGAGGTCTCTGCAATCCAAGTGGGTGCACAAAGCTCTTTAGGATGTGAAGAAAACAGCTCAAGCTCAGAGGGCGGAAGAATTCAGAACAAATTCGAATGAGAAAGAGGAGGGAGGGGTGAGCAATCATCATACATCAGAGCCCTCGCTGGCAATATGCTCACACCTCAGTGACTTGGAAATAAAGAATATTGGACTAATGCTGAAAGCAGAGACAGTCTGTTTATCTCTTCCTGTCACAGTTGAATCAATGCATATGTGTATATATCTGTATACGTCAGAGATCAGTGACCTTAGAAACATCACCTGACCAAGTGTTCCTGTTACTTACACTCCAGTGAAGATGCAGAAGAAATGTTTTCATCTTTTTTTTCCCTCACCAGCACCTGTCACATACACACCTCACCTTAACTGGGTTTGACTGAGCTCAGAGTCAATCAGCATGCAAATTTGTTTTTCTTTCAAAGTTGCAAAAATAATTAGCAAATCTCAGGTAACACTGCCACTGTGTGGAAGTTTTCTACTATCTTGTTTTGCCTTGTAGAAGAAAGAAACATGAAGGCATGCCATTGCCAATGGAAGCAAGGGATTTGTCAAGCTGTCTGCAATGTGGCTGATCATCTGTCACTGCTGTTCCTCTGGAATCTGTCTGTAGAGTCAGTTAGTATTTGTGCCCTTCCACCAATCAGTAAGCATCATTAAATATGAAGTGTGGAGGGAACGTATGTCTGTATGTTAGACATTAGATCTGTTTGTGTTTTCTATACATTAGCAGCTCTGAAATTTTCAGCTATTTTACAGTAACTTGTTTGTTTGCAGTAAAGCATTACTGGTAGTGGACCTTTGAGGCCAATATCCATATCAAGAACTGAACATTGACAGCTAATGTAACTAATTTCTTTTCAGCTGCTAGAGGGTATAGTGAGATGCAAAACAGACACCATGAGCTGCTCCTCATTGGCCTTCCCATCACGTCCCCTTTCCTAACATCCACATAAGCTATGGAAACCTGTTTTCAACAAACTGAACAAAATGCAGCCTCCACTCTGAAGCTAGTGTTAGCAGACTAACAAGTACAGTAAATTTGGAAAGGCGATAGAACACTCCTCTTATTGTTAATGTGATACAAAGTGCTAACATTACACAAAGCTTGAATTACTCCAAAATTAAAATCACAACAAACACATTAGCTTTAGATGCTAGTGCATCCAGGAGGAAGAATGCCACATCTGAATCAAATGCAAGTCCATTGACTGCTTTTAACACTCTTCATCTCAAAAAGCCAAGCCGAAGTTAACCCTGGTTTTTGCTGCTTCTTTGTGCCACACTCTGTGCACCGCTTCATTCTGGCAACCAATATTTTGGACTTTTAAATGCTGAGAGCTCCTTCATGGTAGACTGAAATGACTTGATGTTCAAAAAACACTTCCTATAACAGGTGACGCTGATTTATGAACCATACTTGAACAGCACTGGGTAGGAGAAGCTGGAATAACAGAACAAAAGAACAGAAGGACTATAGGTAGCAGACTATCATGGAGAGCCATCATGTCTAGTCCCATTTTTACTTATCAGACTGTGTAAAATCTTAGTTAATGCACCTTTAAAAATATCACAATATATCAGCCGATACTCATTTTTATTATAAACTGTAGCTGTGACATTTTTTCATAAAGACTGCCTAAAGCACCTAAAAACTCATAATTCATTCACACAGATGTTTTTATTTACTTTGCCTGATTAGACATCTTTTCTGGACTGTGCTGACATTTACAAACTGCAGTTGATTTACATCTACTATACCCGACTCTTCTGTTCATTTTGCGGCACCTGTTATATTTTTAAAATTACATAGAGCTGGGTGAGATTACATAATTCCCAGAATATCTTAATTCTTTTAGAAAATTGTTTATCATTATATTTATGATGAGTTTTAGTATGTGGCTGGAGCCAGGAGACCATTTTAACACAAAGACAGTGGGCAGAGGAGAACACCTACCAACACCTCCACAGCACAAATTTTAGGAAAGTTCTAGTTTATTTGATCTATGCACTAAGAGAAATGTAAGAAGCATGTTGTGGTTTTGTGCAGATTCTTTTCCTTTTCTTTTTTTGCAACCGCACTGTGGTGACTCTAGCAAGTCATTTATTATTCTTAGGTATAAGCTGCAGCTTCTAACTATAGCTTCATGTACAGACAGGAGTGGTATTGATTTTTTTTTATCTAACACAGCAAAAAAGCAAAATCCAGAACTCTGACAATAGAAATGTACAAAGGTAACATTTTACAGTTGAAAAATACATTTTCTTTCTGGTATACACACTACCTTTACAGTGACACAGAAATGAGGTCCAATTAGCCATGCTAATTAGGGATGGGCATTTCAAGCTAAAATGCTATTCAATATTTACGATTCAGTTGTAAGTGCTGTCCATGTATCCATGGTCAGAGACATCTCCTTACTGAAAAACTGAATGACTATTTGAATATTCGAAAATCATTGCTAATCCCAGATGCTAATGTATCCGTCAGGCTGTAGTAAGCAGTGATGTCAAGTGCGACGCTTACCTCATACTCAAACTCCTCTGTTCTGTCCCCGTCAGCTGGAACAGGGGAGAGGTAGTCTGTCCCTTCATAGTAATCCTGGTCCATTGTGTGAAGAGAATGACAACTATCAGGGGAGACAGACAGAGGAAGAACAGGAGGGAAGCAGAAAGAGGTGGAGAGTTAGGCGTAAGCAAGATCCTTTATCCCATTTTCTTTTAAATGCATTCTATACCTCAAAGTGACAGGATTTCCTTGCCTTTGTCTTTACTGGAATCTGAAGAATAAAGGACTTGTCAAAGGCTTTTACTACCACTGGTGTGTGTGTGATGCAAGTACAGCCCCTTGTTATTAACAGCATATCCACATAATTTGCTTCCTGCTCTTGACAGACAAAACCCCCCACACTGTATAGTGTAATTCCATTGTGCGTCCCTCAGTCACTGAACAAAACAGCATTGTGAGAGCCTAACAAGATGAGCAGCTTCATTGCCACACAACATAATCACAGTGGACAAAAACTTCAAAAGGACAATCTGCTGAACATGTTGAGTGATGTGTTCAGGAGCTGTCTGACTCTCAGATTACCCAACACTGTAAAACTGTCTCAGAACGATCTTCCAGTCACAAAACCAGACCGGTAAAAGCTTTAAACTTTGATGCTTCTATATTATATACACACACAACAACATTTGGCAGTGGGTGCCAAGAGTAGTTACAAATTTTACAGCATGGCCTCAAACATGCAAGTTCCCAACATTTGTTATCTCTATCGAATCTGCTGTGTATTGGATTATGCAGCTGATCTCAGATGAAGAGACAAAACTGTGTTTTATGGGACACATTGATTACATTTAGGCTGGGCCTGGGGCTATAAGTAGAATGCGAGCACACGTTGCACTGATTCCTAGTTTTTATTAGCCTATTTGCCTTAATCACCTTGTAAAGCTTCCGTGAGCCAAAATGGATACATCAAGCACCACCAATTATGCCAAGAAGGCCCTGTGGGGATTTGTATGGTGACTATGTGAAATATATACATGGAAATGATTCTGGTCTTCGTGTCATGTATAGTGCTTTATAGCTAGTGTGGCAATAACACAAATATTTAATGTTTGTTATCATAAATGATACAGATGGAGCAGCTGACTGAAATTAATATTGCAATGTCTAAGCAAGCTTCCAGTGACAAATGACACCGGATACTCAAAGTATCACTTTTGGAGTTAACTTGATTCACCAGGACAGACCCGACTTCCCAGCTCTGTGCTATAAAGCTCCTGCACTGTTATTGTTTCATTCCCAAGAGGTGGAACCTAGATATTCCTTTATGCTAAACTTTTCTTGTTCACAGTTTACTTCTCCTTTGAGATGAACCGAATATAAACTAAAATGGCAGAGGAAATAATGAACCCCGTTTCTTTTGTTGTTTTCCACGAAAACCTCTTGTCGATACTTTAACTCTCAAGATCTTTTTTGTACATATTTTTATGCTGCCTTCGCACATAAACAATAAAAACATGTCTTTGAGGTATTGTGCTACCCGACATTCATTTGAGGATTAGACTTTTACTGATTGTACCATATGTGTTGTTTTGAGTTACTTTGCTCACAAAGACACTTGGTCTTACAATTGAGTTATGGTTCTGTGCATGATTATCTAAATACAGTCCATCATTATAAAGATTGTAAAGGACAGCTACCAGCCTGCAGGTGCTACAAATATGCACCGGCCAGGCAAACCAGATCCAACTGTCAAACTGTGAATATAGATGTATCTATAAATGTATATTTCTTTTGCGTGTGCCACTCAGTGAGCTATAGGATCCCCTATGTGATTGCCTATTCTGTGTTTAAGTGCTATAGAAGTAACAAATTCAATTGCTTATAATATTTATTTCCTTACTTAAGTCTGCATGTACTTATTGATACATCTGAGGTTAAGCTTCATATGGAACCAGACACTGAAATGCCAAGCACACACACACACACACACACACACACACATTCTATAATTGGTGATCATAGGGGCTCTCATCCCTATTCTTTTCCTGGTGGAAAAAAAACATGAAGGACATTCAGAGGCCTGTTCATAAAACGAGTCCACATTTGTCATTCAACTCTGCAGCTGGTTAGACAATTCATTTATATTTTACAGGCGCCTTGTATAATTATAATACTAATCCTGTAAACACTGATATTTCTGCTTCATAGTTCAATAACGCATTTTTTTTTCCTTCTTAATTACCAGTAGTCCCAACCAAAGTCAAAACGAGGACACAGCAACAAACTATGTAATGCTCTTTGTGGCAATGAACTGAAATTATTTGTAATTATATAGTATAAAATTAAATAAAAATGGGAAATTATATCATCACTGATCTGTTTAAAACTCACTTTCCTACTGTAAATAACTATCATAAATCACATTTATTTTGACTAAGAAAACTAAGACTCACAATCTGAGCATTGTTAGTACATACATACTACAAATATTGTCGACGTACAGAACGTACCTGTCAGAGAGCAGGAAGGGACAGATGTCAGGCACAGGAGGGGTTGAAGGCCGGAGCTTTGCTAGCGCCATGATGTGTTCAAAGGTGATGTCGGTCTGAGTGCACACATCCACCACTTGGATTTCCTGAGGAGGGCCATGGGGGCGGCCGCTCGGGGTCCGCCTGATGACCTGCACCACGACGGGGTCCTTGGCAGCACGAAAGGCCTCTGCAGTCTCCTCATGGCTAGACTTGGACAACTCCTTTCCATTTACCTGAGGAAGAGAGGGAAATATGTGTTTTGTTTTGATATGAAATACTAGTGTGCCTGCCTATTCTGTTCATCTTTACTATACAACTGTTTCATAGAAAGGCAGCAGCTGTGGGAATAGACATAACATTCTGCCTACACAGACCAAAAGGCAGAAGTTACACTAAATTAGGTTTGTAGGGGAAAACTCCAGTATCAGATCCCAACAATTCTGCCTCCATAGTCTTGAATGTCTAATTGACAGCTGATCCACCCCCCAAAAGCCTGAATTCAACATTGGAAAACATCAAACAGTTTAATGCAACATTATCAGAATGTTCTTCACAAAATGAACTGGATTCCCTGGCAGACTGAACCCTATTTGCAGTACAGCTGGCACATATAAAGAAAATCATTGCTTCATTTAGCTCCAGTGATTTATCTGGAGGAGACACCATGATATAAATGCTGAAACCAGAGATTATAATTTAGATAACCACAGAAAGTAAGAAAGGAAAACGGTACACAAAAAGCATAATTACCCTTGCAGTTATGAGCTTTTGGAGTGAAATGAAGTAAAATGATAACTGAAGGGAAACGGAAAAGCAGCAGTGTTTCAGAGCATGAATCACAAACTCTCCTTAAATTGCATCATACAGTCTCAGTTCCTTTTAGCGGATCCATGTTTCCCACATTTGTGACATAGCCTTGCATCTTAGTTCCTCTTATTAAAGACACCAGGGCGGAGGCAGGAAAAGATACGAGGAGAGAGGGAACCAAGAAGTGTGTTAGAGAAATGAGACATTCTTTCCTCCTCTTATCTGAAGTCAAGTCCAATTCTGATGACTGTAGCACAACTGGATTAGCTGTCAGATGGATTTTAGAACTCTGTGGCAACTTATTTTGGGTTAGGAGTTTGTATACATCCTTGTTTTTTCTGGTTTTCTTTAAATATATTCAGACACACAAAGTATTTAAAAACTTTTACAGTATATTAATACTGTGCTCAGGTGAGTAAAACCACAGTATACAACAGTACTTCACCGCTTCACTCAATGCACATGAACCATGTGCAGTCTGTGTGTATATATATTTTTTTTATATATATATGCATTTTTTTGTGTTCTTTGTACAGTCATTATCCATTAATCTGGGTTATAATTACAATATCTGAGTGTTTAGCAAAAATCCTTTATTAGCTCAAACAAGCTTCATTTCTACCCAACAAACACGGATTTTCTGCCTGAATAGAAATGACAGAAACACAATTTAAATGTTTAATTATGAAAGGCTCTTCTTCACTACATTATTCACATTACAAATTCAAATGGGAAATAACAGACCATGCACAGAAATTTTTTTTTCTAATGAATAAGATAAGTTGTTCATTGTTCTGTTGTTAATCAAGCAGATCCACTGTTTGTAACTAGACTGTGAATGAGAAAACAAACCAAATCTAAATCTAATACTCATGCATTGTTTCTGTTAAATATCCATGTAGGTATAAAACGGTTTCTAATACGACATCTCTGGGGGGGGGGGTTTCAAGCTGTAGAAACCTCCCTCCAGAAGACATTATACAATAGTTAAATAAACTGATTTTCATCGAGTAAAGTTAATAGCCTGCCCTTTTAATTTTTTTTTTTTTTCTCAATTTAAGGGACCTCCTCATAACCTAACATTATTATTTGCTGGCAGAAAATATAGGTAGGTAGGTAGGTAGGTACTTTATTGATCCCACAGTGGGGAAATTTCTGTGCAGCAATAGAGAACAACCAACATAACACCATAAGAACAGACACATAAGAACAGAACTTCATAAAAACAGAACACAACGAGGACACAGCTGCTGTAACTTGCTGCCACTCCGCGTGGCGCAACAAAGAACACTTAGTCTTAAAATAAACAGTTACATAAAGGCAACAAAGCATTAGAACCGATACACACAAGTAGTGTCATCAGAACGTTACATTTTACATAGCACAAATAAGCAAATCAAAAACAAGGCAGAGCAGCACTGGAGAGAATCAGGAACAGCAGTAGAGACTAAAAAACCAGGAAATCAAGAACAATTGAATATTACTCACACAATTAATCCCACAATGGGGGAGAGAAACCTGTGTTATAACAACTCTTTACAATGTTATGATGGTTATAATCCAATAATAGTGTGTTGATCTCATTCCTGGTTCATTTCTCTCTCTCTCTGTGTGTATGCATTTTTTATTGTTTTTTTTTTCCTTTCACCTCTCCATGTGTGTCTCTGGAGACAGAGCGATGCCCTACAAAACAGCAAAAAAACTTCTTTTCTCAGTCATAACAGTAACCATATATAGCTCCCATAGCTCTTGTTGTGCTCTGCCCTGCTCCCCTGTCTCCTGATATGACCTTTGTTTGTAGCAAAGTTACATTAATCACCTGAGCAGAAGATAAACTGGGTCAACACCTCTCCTGTGGAACTGCAGGGTAATTGGG